GTAAATTTTTCGTTTTTTTTTTCAATGCCGGTTATGAGACTTCGTATCTTGTAGTGCGTTAGTGGTATTAACATTTTTAATGCATGGTCAGGGATGGATTTTAGTACCTAACATAAATTATAGTTTTAGCGTTATTGTTGTTTTGTCAATAATATATCAATAAGACTGTTTTTTTTTAAATAGTAATAACAGAATTTCTTACTCGTTCTTCTCCATTTGAAACTACACTTTGGAATGAGCGCCTAGCTTCACTGAGAGACAGACGGACGACCAATTCAATTTTTGACGTTTCCAAAGTGCCTGATTAAGGATTTATTGAAATAAATGCTTTGACTTTGACTTTTGACTTAGACAAGTCTTCAAAATAATCCTAGCCTAGTGGCATCTAGGTTTAATAGTGGCTTAGTAGCCACTATTAAACCTAGATGCCTCATTTGCTCAAACCTCTACAGGCACGGCATAGTTGCAGAATGCAAAATGTAATTGTAAAAGATTTACTAGTTATTCGGAAATTATCTAATTTTACAGTAATTTAGTAAGAGGATAATTTACGGGCTTGGTCCAATGTTATAGAAGAGAATGTAATAATATGTTCTTCTATTTTTTAGTTTTATTTTGTGCAGTTTTTGTAACTCTAAACATTTTGTGGGATTTTCGTAATATTATTGATTTTTTTAGTCAGCACTTGGGTACTTTTGTGTATATTTAAGTATACAAAACAATAGGAAATCACTCCCTTTCTGGCCATCGAAGTTGAAATATTTTTGGAGATAAAATCAGTAAACCAAATGAGTAAGCAGAGGTGCACATTATGGCAGTTAATGCCACTGTACAATGTAACACCCACTTTTGACTATTTATGTTATGAGTCCCATGTAATAGGGGATGAGCCTATTGTCTTATTCGTTTCTTTATTACGTAAAATGTGTAAAGGACAAATACCACACGATATCTGTCCTTAAACTGTATAAACCCTCGGCAATCACATATTTAACACATACCTATTATAAATGAAAGTTGTATTATATTAAAATGAATTATCTTGTTTTCAACAGCCGTCAGCACCTTGACTCCTGACATCCGGTACACTTTTACAAAGGAAACTTATGTTGCAAATGTAATCAACAGATATAATAATTATACATCAACAAATATTAAATAATAATATAATAATTGACGTTTATACACATATTTCTCAACAACTTCCAGCCTGTAATACTATTAATTTTATGATATCGTTTTAACACAACTTTTTTGTTTTATTATTATTTCGTTTTAATTGTTTTTTTTTGTGACACACTGTCCTGTGGAAGGGCCAACTGTAACTAATGTTCGAGAACTGAATGAGGGTGAAATAAATAACTCTAGGTAAATGTTATTTAAACTGTAGTCGAACGAGTGAATAGAAAAGTAAATAATATAGGATTTATATTGAAATTATGTCAAAACTGTACTCATTATTTCGCATTTCTTTTATATTTTTAAATACCATCTTTAAACTTTGACCTACGCTATCCTTTCCTCAAAAAGTAATTAGTATTTGTCAGAATATGTCTGAGATATTATTGAAACGGTGCATTTATTTCATCAATTTTTTTTATATCAAACTTGCTCTCCGAACATAAAACTGATATTTTCAATCACAACCAGATCAATCAAACGAGTATTTATTTTACGATAACGATAATCACTTTTTAAACATTTAATTAAAAGTTATTACTTTGCAATATCTATTAAATCTTAAGTTTTGCTCTGATTGACCTATTTACTTCATATCTTAATTATCGTTATAATGTTTCATTTAAACAATAACTCTGTTATGGCGCCGATGTACTAGGTGATAAAAAATTTTAATTATTACCAGATGAATGGTCAAGTACACTGTATGCCTCATGGTAACCCGAGACACCCTCTCTCCTATCTCTTTTTGAAGGTTTCTGAACCGTTAGCTCGGCAAGGTTTTGGATCAGAACTTTCATTGTTAATTTAATTTTTCTTTATGAAATTCATTTATAGGTACAATACAATGTACATACAAGAATGGAAACTTGTATTTTTCTACTTAAATGTGGAATCAATTACCAACAAAGTACCTTAAGCATTAATTCATAACAATGTGATTTTCTTATTGACGAAGAAATTATAACTAAACTTTTTTCTATATTATATTTTTCTTTCTTCGCAGGCTGCCAGCGCTCTCTTCACGCTGGATGGTGCTAGAGGCGAAGCTTTATCTCGTCGCCTCGCTCGGAGTGAGCGCAGACGTCGACGTTGCAGAGCTGCCCTGGCCATCATAGCCCTCCTGCTCCTTCTAGCTGCAGTAGGAGCCGTGGAACTCCTCATGTCCAGAGGACAGAGAGTCTTTGGTGCTGTACTACGCTAAGCTTATTGGTTCATTACCATCTACAGTTGATGATTAACCAATAAGCTTCAAGAATCAACCTTTTAAAGAATTTTACTGCTGAACATAGGCATCTGATGAAGGAGCTGCTAAACCCCATGTTTAGAGTATGTCGATTCATCACTAGTTTAGAGGATCCTGTTACCCGACTCTCGGATTTGTCGAATAAATCTAGAAATCTAGGTGCAGAATCTATTACAATAGTGTTAGGATTTGTTCGACCCACGCTTTGAATTTCTTAAGCAGTTCCTATCTGGAATTCCATCATGTTGTTGGCAACATTACTGGGAACAGATATGTTCGGAATGTTGGCATGAATGTTGACTCAGCAGATACATAAACTTAACATACATGGTATAATCCTCGAAGATTGAGCTCAGAATAAATAGCTTGGGGTAGTACAGTTACATTAAAAACATGAACATTTGATTGTGAACCTTTTTGTACTATGTTATGGTTTACATTGCATTTTACTGTTTTGTAAGACAAATGAATATAATAAATCTAACGAGTATCACAATAGTTAGAAATGTTCGTAGTCGGAATGTTATGAAAATATGTTTAGATCACTTTTGGTATATTGAAATGAAATAGTAAAAGTACTCAAGCTTTCATTCTGTATAGGATTATATTCTTATCATTTTAAAAATAGTTTTAGTATGAATATTTTTAATGTAGTAAGAATATTTGTAAACAACCTTGTAAAATCAAACGATTTGGATTCCACTATCGAAAATTACCTTTAGGTTAGTTACTATATTTTTTGTAATATTACCTAATGTAAGTAGTTAATTTTGTAAATACGTATTTTCTTTCATTTTATAAGATACCTACTTATACTTATGTGCCTTCCTATTTAGATGTAGAATTAATTTAAAAACTAACTTAATAGTTTTGAGACACATTTTATTAATTAAGTATAAAATAAAATAGTCCTTAGTGAAGCAGTTATTGCTTGATATAAAATTAAAGACATTATTATATTGGAACTAATAACGAATTGCACAGAATCGAAAAAAGTACCTATTGAGTCTATAGGTGACATGATTTTCAAAATATCTACAATATTGCACTGGTATTTGACATGGCTGATTCGACTAAATTTTTTTTATTAATAAGGCAATAATTAATATAAGTACTTTTTCTTCTTCCTTTAGCTCAAGGATACAAGAGAAAATTAATACTTAAGTACTTATCTATTTTTGGAAAAAAATTAGACTTTACCCATAATCCTATTGCGATATTTAAAATTAATAAGTACCATGTGCCTACTAACGGGAGATTTTTACTGCCAATTAGAAATAAACTTAAGTAAATATTATTCTTTAGTTAGTATTGAAATAAAATATTATAAATTAATTCTATTTATCATAGTCCTTTAATATTATTTCAACTTATGTAATTAATTCTTTGATAGTGGGATACAATCTGAATAGATTTAGCTTATTTTGGTTTTTCTGTATATTTTTAGACTTAGAAATGTACCTATGTGAAAATTGAATTTAGGTAAATGTTAAGGTTTATTTAGTATTGTTTAAATTTCTTTTACAAGCACTGCGGGGCATGTAAAATAGGAAATAAGCCCCTTTTCAATTCTTTATATAAAAATATTTTGATGGCACTATTCTTGACATAAAATCTAAAACGCCATTTTAGTATCAATTTAATTTGGTGCCATAAAGTGTACAATATGTAAACCTTTTAAATTGGGTACTTGCCAACTAGTCAAAATCAATACTTTTTTCGAACTGTCAAAAACGACAGTTTTCTATGAATTTTGTACGAGATTGTCTATTGTGACGTCACGTTTTTTTAGCGTCAAACAACGTACTTATTACTTAAAAAATTGCTGGAAAAATACTAAAATCATGTTGGTCATGAAATCAATAAATGAAACTGTGATTATTTTTTAATATTTTATTGTACTGAACAGTCGAAATAATTTATTTTTGATTAAGGAAAGTACCCAATTATGAATGTTATGTTTTTGAACAGTATAATTTTCTTTTTAATTTAAAATCTTTTATGAACTAGTAAATGAACTGGCCACAAATACAATAGTGTATCAAAAACATTGTTCTTCAGTTTTAGATTTTTTTCGTGGAATACTTTAAGAATTTAAATACAGAATGTTTTTGTTTTTAAACCGTCATGAGATTGCCATGTAAAAATATGATTCTATTTATTGTTATAAGTGGCCTTTTTAGTATTGACATAATTATTTGTGATCGGAATGTGATTGTAATTATTATTTGTAGTGAATATATTTTATGAATAATTATTATGAAATGTTAAGTCGCATAGTAAATTAAATGACAGAAAATAACTTGTCAACATATTTTTGCGATTGATTGTACATTAACGTATCTACTCTTTACAGAGTGCCCATAATTTTGGCGTAAAAATAAAATAAAGTAATGAATTCTTTGGTGTTTTATTTACAATACAAATGCATTATTTTAATAAAAATATTAATAAAAAAGAAAATAATATCTGTAATGGATGATTAGGAACGAAAACTCTTTGTCTTATTGATAGATAATGAAACAGTAGATATAATTAAAGTAACATAGATAAATATAAAGTTCAATCGTAAATTTTATTCAGCGTATATAACTTCATCCACTTTTTGGTCTTGTTCGTTCGTTGGTACGTCGTCTATCACCTGGCAGTTGAAGGCAACTGCTACAACCTGAAACATTATTATCAACTTATTGTATATTCTTTTTCAATAAAAATATGATCGTAATTTCGTTTCGTCACATATATAGGTACGTTATCTTATACCGATCACTGTATTTTGAAATAATTGAAATTAGCAAACTCAATAGTGAAATATGTAATACTGTTATAGCTTCTCCTATGTAACGATTTAATTTCTTATTGAGAATTTCGAAAGTCGAACAATGTCGAACATCCTTTGCCCCCTTAAAAATGCATCTACCTACTTATGTAGTATATAATGTATAATGGGTACTGGGCGGATTTTGCAGTAAGATTATGACATAAACAACATAACATCACGCCTTTTATCCCGGAAGGGGTAGACAAAGGTGCACATTCAAAGTCAAAGTCAAAACATTTATTTCAATTAAACCATATTTTGGTACTTTTGAAACGTCAACAAATACAAAATAAATAGTCTGTCAGTCAGTCAGTCCGTCAGTGAAGCTAGGTGAAGCATTACGGCACTTAATGCCACTGTACAATGTACCACCCAGTTTTCACTATTTATGTTATGATTTCCATGTAATAGGGGGTGAGCCTATTGCCATATACCGGGCACAATTCCATACTCCGTGCTACTATTGAGATTTTTTTTAAAACCCAGTAATACTTTGCGCGACCCGGGAATTTCGCGATTTTCTAGACTGATTTTCGAGTTTCGAAACCGAAACCCCTTGCGGCAGTTGCACTTGGGATCACTCGGCCAATGAGGCAGTCAAGTAATAGTAGTTAGGACAACTATTCAGTTTCGGGTAACCTGATAGACTGACTAGACGTTAGATACTATTTCAGCATACAATTTTTGATTGTATTTTAACGTACCGAGCATTAAGTGCTGAAATGTGCACCTCTTCCTATCCCTTCGGGGATAAAAAGGCGTGATGTTATGTTTAGGTATGTTATGTATTTTAACTTTAACGTACCTTGGGTGCGGTTTCCGGGTTACTCCTAAGGCCAGCAAGGAACTTATCATAATAGCCTCCTCCGTGACCGCATCTGTTTCCGGATTTGGAGAACGCTACTCCTGGAGCTATCACCAGGTCCAGTCCACCTGAAGAATACAGCAAAGTACGGTAAAGTGTTTATATTGTTATAAATTTCGATTAAGGTAGTAAAGTTTTTTTTATAGGATAAGCCGGTAAACGAGCAGACGGATCACCTGATGGTAAGCAATCGGCTTCGCCCATGGACAATTGAAACACCAGAGGCGTTACAATTGCGTTACTGGCCTTTTGGAAATTGACAAATTGAGAATTGTGGGGGATTCGGGGATTGGGAAGATTTGTTTCTTTTAAACACGTTGCCCCACACTAGGATTTTTTCCTATGTCTTGGATGCGCTTACAAACATTATACAAGTTCACATACACATGACACCCAGACCCGAAACAAGAATTTGTAGATCTAGAAGAACCAACTTACCAGTTTCAACAGCATCTTCCCTCTTCTGATCCTTCGCATGCTGTGCGATACCATGTCTCGTGATAAACATGGTATTCTCATCATCATTCTCTTCAAGGAGCAGCATCCTCATCTTTCCACCAGCATACTGTGGGACGAAGGGCTTAGCTCCTCGCTGCTTGATGTGGCTGATGATAGGGGCGGTGTTGATCTCCTGGTCTGTGCTCATGTATAGTGAAATACGGTTCGCTGATTTGTACCATGGGTGGTTGATGATCTGGAATAGAGATTTTTATGGTACTGTCAATTTCGGTATCGATTCAATCTAATAGATTTTATATTTCACTAACTACTTCCGCGCGGTTTCACACGCTCTGCTCAGCTCCTATTGGTTGTAGCCTGATGTTTTATAGCCTATATATAGCCATCCGTGATAAATGCACTATTCAACACAAAAAGAATTATTCAAATCAGACTTGTAGTTACGGAGATTAGCGCGTTCAAACAAACAAACAAAAAAGCAAACTCTTCCGCTTTATATAATAGTAGGTATATATATAAGATAATGGAAATTATTTGATATTTGAAAATTTTCGGATCGGCTAAACTTTGTCGGATCTTTTAAACGATCTTGTGATCTGATCAATTTGTGATTGGCATTGACAACTGTAATACTGCTAAAAGTACTAACTTGGATATCAAGTTGGCGTAGTATTGTCGAGATTAGCTAGTCAATTATTAACTGTGACTTTAAACTGTCAAACACCGAGCGGTCACCGGTGACCGCAACCTATTGTTCTTTAATTTTGTCTATAATGACGGTACTCAACGAGTTAATTATCAAGGACAACAAACAACAGTATATCTAATATAACACGAATGAATAAAATAATAGTTTTAACAAATACACTCCTCACGACGTTACCACAGATTACTATATGTACTTAGCAGCTCAGAGAATCAGTAAGGGAGACTGGTATATAGCATTTGTACCAAATAAAATTACCTCCTATTTAGTTGAGGAATGAGAATTATGATCTACTTAGTCAAAGTCAAAGTCAAAATCATTTATTTCAATTAGACCAGAAAGGCACTTTTGAACGTCAGCAATAGAATTTAATTAATTTAAAAGTGAAGCTATATGCTCATTCCAAGGTGTTTTTTTTTTAAGGGGGGGGGAAATCATTTCATGGCTGCTCCCGCCTGGGTGAGGCGGAAGGGAGGGTCAGACTCTTACTGACTTAAAACCACCCCGTTCCTTCTCCTGCACGTCGAGCCGGAGCGCCGGTTACCCGTTAGGTTCTCCGCAACTCATTCCAAGGGGTAGATTCTTATGGAGAAGAACGAGCAAGAAACTCCATACTCCTTACATATTTACCTTGTTACGTATGTATTTACCTTGTCATAAACTATCTTAGACTGACGGTTCTTCTCCTCTGTAGACAGTGCTGCGATGCGAGCAGCTATCTCCGTCCTCAACAACGCTTTAGCTGGGTTCGGAGTGATCTTCGACATTTTCGAATTCAGTTCTGAAAAAAAATAGTTAATTGAAAATGTGACGTAAATTAAAGATATTTACGGTTTATAATTGCTATAAAAATGTGAGTTTATGTACGTACTCACGACACCAAAGTGGGTTACATTTTACAGTGGAATTAAGCGCCGTAATGTGCACCTCTGTCTATACTTTTGGGGATAAAAGGTGTGATGTTATGTTTTCTTTGTAGGTATCCTATCGAACGTGAGTGTTTTGTAAACTTTTCTATGACCAATGTTCAAATGTTATTTTAAATATGAATTATTGTTATAGCATTTTCATACGATACTGACTAAAGTATTGTTGACACCGTTGAATGTCGAAGTTTCGCGATCGATTTCCTGTTCAATGACGAAATGTCTCACTTGGTACACACGGCCACACATCAATCTATACAAAACCAGTTTATCCTGGCGTCGCGTCGCATCATCTTTCCGAACTTTTAACGTTCAGTTTATACTGGTTAATTAAAACTCGATATGTAGCCGTCTGCCGTGTGTACGAATGTAATATGTATACATTTATTTTAGTTTGACTGCACTGTTGGTGCGGTGGCTGGGCAACCGGCTGCCGTGCAACGTGTCGCGGGTTCGATTCCCGCACGGAACAACACTTTGTGTGATCCACAAATTGTTGTTCCGGGTCTGGGTGTCATGTGTATGTGAATTTGTATGTTTGTAAACGCACCCACGACACAGGAGAAAATCCTAATGTGGGGCAACGTTTTATATTTAAAAAAAATCTTATTTAATAAAGGAAGATGCTACTAACCTAACGAGATAAGAATACTGTTCCAACTGATCAACTCAATTTATTAATTCACGACACCACTGTTCGCAGGGAAGTAGAATTAACAAAATAAAGTTTTGGTCACGAGTTCATATTGTTTAAGATAACGCAGTTACGCACTTGTTTATTGCAAATTATTATAAATAATATTATGACGATTTCTTTTATCAAAAGTTTTAAGTGAATCTATAGTTGTAGATATCCATATTCATTCAATATTTTTCAAGGTTTCATCTTATTAGTGGCAAAATTTCATTCTGGGTGCGTTTGTTTTAGTTTTTGCAGGGAGCTTGGAATATGGTAGTTGACAGGTAGTCAAATTGAATACTTTTATTGAAATGTCTGAAACGATACATTTCTATGAATTTTGTATTGGATCGCAACTTATAACGTCATCATATTACTGTGTCAAATAACATACTTATTTCCTAGCGAGAAAAAATCCAAAAGTAGATAAATTGTCAAATGAATGAATGAGAGTATGATTATTTATTGCATTGAAAAGTTGAAACAATTTATTTTAAACCTAGAAAACTAGCCAATTGTGTCCCGTATAAAGTGACAATAGACCCTTCCCCTTTTACATAGAACTTGGAACATACTGGTTAATAGTGAGCTGATATTCAAATATTCAAACGCCACTTAATTTTAAGTCGTTCGTTCGGTTTAATAGTTCTGTCTCAAATTATTTGTATGTACAATAACAGAGATGGCACGATATTTAACTCGTTGAGTACCGTATTTATAGACACAATTAAAGAACAATAAGTTGCGGTCACCGGTGACCGCTCGGTGTTTGACAGTTTAAATTTATACAACTTACAATTTGAGGAGTCTTTCAGTATTCGAGCGAGAGTGTCATCTTATATACTTATACTTACTATTATATAAAGCGGTAGAGTTTGTTTTTTTATTTGTTTGTTTGAACACGCTAAGCTCCGTAACTACAAGTCTGATTTGAATAATTCTTATTGTGTTGGATAGCGCATTTATCGAGGATGGCTATAGGCTATAAAACATCACGCTACAACTAATAGGAGCTGAGCAGAGCGTGTGAAACCGCACGGAAGTAGCTAGTTTTAAATAAATATATGTATAGCATAATTATATGTTTTATCATATACATATAAAATCTAAGTCACAACCCACTTCTAAATCAGTGTAATCGGTCTTTAGGTCAGCAGTTTACTATAAGATTGCTCCAAATACCAATATAAAGGGCTTCGATTATTTATTGAGCAATTTCAATAAGCTTGCATTGAATTTTGGTTATAAATGGCCATAAATCGTTTGATAATTATGATGGATGCAGTTACTTTTGATATATCGAACAAAAATTTAGATTTCGAGGTCATATTACATCTTCGTGGGAATTGGGTAAATGGTGTGGATTAATCTCTTTTAGGTTTATTGAGTTTGTTATTTTGTAATCGTAAATTAAAAATGTTTCAAATATTGTATCGAATATCGATGTCGTAAAATGGGTCTCGGGTAAGATTTCCCGGCTTGTTCACTTAAGCGTGAATGTTGGAACTATCTTCGATCTTAGTATAATTATGAAGGCGCCCTTTGAATACATTACCTACGTAGTATGAATTACTACATAACAAAAGTAGTCAAAAGTGTTTGTTCCAACAATACTCGAACCTATGGGAAAAATAAAATACCTATAGCCCTAATAAAAAAACCGTTAATATGTTTTATATTAATATATTTGACCCCAAAAAAAATGTTCAGATCCCGAGGTTTTTAGAGGGAGAAGTAGCTATAGTTTATATTAAAAATACAGTAGCGTCATCTGTGTTTTATTTCTAAAAGCTTTATAGTACTTTAAAGAGATGCAGGTTCGTTACTTTATAATTTAGAAGAATAAGTAACAAAATCAAATACATCTAGTCATTATTGTATGTCATTCTGTGACGTTTACAAATAATAAGTAGATAATTTAATGTGTACTCATTTGTTATCTCAGTAGCTCAATTTTAGCAATGATTAAACTATGATTCCACTGTCATTAACGATACGATTGAAGCAATGGTTGTGGTATATCGCGTCGTGGGTTCGATTCTCTAATTCTCTAGTGTGATCCACAAACTGTTGTCTTGATGTGAACTGTCAACTGTTGATGTGGACGTGAAGATTCATGTTTTCAAACGTATGGCCACGAGAAAATCATTCTAGTGTGGAGTAGGTAATATTTTTTTTTATAAGGCAATGTTAATTTTGATCCAGTGGGTTGGGTGAGTGATTGCAAGTATCTCTTCCGCATAAGGAATTTTGTGTTCAATATATCTAATACCTATAACTGTGCCTATACAAACATAACATAACATCACGCATTTTATCCCCAAAAGAAATGGGCAGAGGTGCACATTACGGCACTTAATGCCACTGTACAATGTTTTTTTTTCACTATTTATGTTATGAGTCCCATGTAATGAGGGTGAGCCTATTGCCATATACCGGAATGTGCCTATACTATGAATAAAAACTGTCTTAAAAGTATTATGTACATTAATTAATTTTAATCAACTGGTGTTTATAAATTGCTTCAGCGTATAGTAGATATTAATGTATAAATTTAATGAAGCAATAACACAAATCTACGTTCATTGATTGACAAAATTTAAACAGGAGCTGAAACATAACAACAACTTTCCATTACTGGTGAATATTATGTAAACAACAAGCTAAAACTATCAATTTCTTTATACTACTTGAACAGAACCAGTAAAACAATCATATTTTAGGTCAAAAGCCAAATGATTATGGTCACAAGATATTTGTACGGAATAAAACTTGTAAATACAATGATAAAGCAAATTATTCTTACCAGTAAGACGTCAGATTCACTTTGAGTGTAAAACAGACTGATAGCAAACGATATATACGTTGATAATGAAATAGGAGTCTAGCGTTAACCAAAACAAACTTCATGACACTAATTCCACACGTGGTCGTACTACTAACGCCATCTATTGGTGTAGTGTTGAACTAGTTGACAAGCACGTTTGTTGAGGTCGGTGTTAAAATGTAGTTTGTTGCAGGATTTTGATCATAGATGTCACTTTTAGAATGTAAGTCTGAAACTGTTTTTGTCAATAATTTATTTTATCTATAGATATACATAGATATACAAGCGTTGAAAGTTCCTTTCAGGCCGTTAAAAATTCCATGTGCCTGAGTAAATAAATTATCTAAAGACTTTTTTGGTAACAGTAATTTTTATATATGAATGTAGGTACAATTTATGTTGCTTTCCTTTCAGATTATCTCATTTAACAATTTGCACAGGCAGACATAATTTTGTCATTTAATAAGAGTTAGTGAGAAAATCGTTAAAAATTATTGCTTTTTATATTTTATTCAATTTTGGAATAATGCCAAAGAATAAAATGCGTCTGCTTTCGTATTTCGTAATCCTCGCCGATACGTAGGTGAAATAGTAACAATATCTATATATATAAAATTCAAAGGTGATTGACTGACTGACTGACTGACATAGTGATCTATCAACGCACAGCCCAAACCGCTGGACAGATTGGGCTAAAATTTGGCATACAGATAGATGTTATAACGTAGGCATCCGCTAAGAAAGGATTTTGATAATTTCCACCCCCAAGGGGGTAAAAAACGGGATGAAAGTTTGTATGAAACTTTGTCAGTTTTTAACTGATCCGGTTGAAATTTGGCATGCAGATAGATGTTATGACGTAAGCATCCGCTGTGAAAGGATTTTGATAATTTCACCCCCAAGGGGGTAAAATAGGGGATGAAAGTTTGTATGAGACTTTGTCAGTTTTAAACCGATCGGGTTGTAATTTGGCATGCAGATAGATGTTATGACGTAAGCATCCGATGTGAAAGGATTTTGATAATTTCCACCCCCAAGGGGGTAAAATAGGGGATGAAAGTTTGTATGAAACTTTGTCATTCTTACACCGATCGGGTTGAAATTTGGCATGCAGATAGATGTTATGACGTAAGCATCCGATGTGAAAGGATTTTGATAATTTCCACCCCCAAGGGGTAAAATAGGGGATGAAAGTTTGTATGACTTTGTCAGTTTAAACCGATCGGGTTGAAATTTGGCATGCAGATAGATGTTATGACGTAGGCATCCGCTGTGAAAGGATTTTGATAATTTCCACCCCAAGGGGTAAAATAGGGGATGAAAGTTTGTATGAGA